AGAAAAACAGCTGGAGTACATCCCACAGAAAATAAATCCTATGCTTGGAAGTGTAAGTTAGGGATCAGAGTCTATGGATTTTTATGGAAGTTAGAAAGAGGTAGAAACAGAGCAACCAGAATAAAGAGCTAGTGGAAGTCAAAACCCTTTTCTGATTAACATGAAATTTCTTCCTTTTAAAATCGAACTGTTTAGCTGCTCGTACCATTTGCAAGGTACATTTCTTTCAGCATCGAAAACAGACCTTCTGTTTCAATTAAAAAAAACAACAACAACAACAAAAAAAGATAAAAAACCCAGTTCACCTGAATGTTATTCACGTTTTTTAGATCTTCCACCACCACCCGACCCACCCCCTGGTCAGGGTTTAAGGCAGCCCATAGTGCCCGGCCAGCGCGGAGGCTCTGCCGAGAGGAAGGGGAGCTCTCTGGAGAGGCAGCACGCAGCAGCCAACGTAGATGACACAAAGAGCTCCCTGGACCGGCCCGCTAGGACATCACTAGAGTGGCAGCGGCAAGCCCAGGAGTGGATAAGCTCTACAGACCGCCAAGAGGATTTCAGGAAAGCCCAACACAAACAAGCCTTCGGATCAGGTGTGTGCGCGCTGCACCGGCCGAGGCGAGGCTGCTGCACCCCTCTGCTGAGGGGTTCTGTGCCTGGCAGGGCTCTAGGGTCACCTCACACCTCTCTGGGGGAGCACTGGAGAGGCTCAGGCTGGAGAATAAGGAAAGTGAAAGGAGGGCTTGTGATCCAGCTGTCTTCCCTCCTGCAGCATTGAAATCTCAGCACCTGACTCGGTGCGCTCTTTGCAGTGTTTTGGAAATTAATAATGTTCTCAAGCGTAGGGATGGAGAAAATAGGAACAGTTTCAGGCTAGCAGGGAAGGAGAGAGATTTCTACAATATCTTTTGTTAGATGTATGTATTTATTTATACATATAGGGTCGTATTTTCCAGTTCTTTCAACCTGCTTCCAAGTTGGCAGCAGTTTTCACATATCTGCAAGAAGGCTGATCCTGATCCTTCTGAGCTACTGACATTCCTTTCAGCTGTATTAAAAAGCCTTTCTTCTCCTTATTCAAGGATATGACAAAGTAGCATTCATCTCTTAAGCCCAGCAAGATGACAACGCAGGTTTTCACCTTCATACAGGACCTGCACCTTGCCCCAAGTTGACTTTAGCACCTAAATGGATTTCAGGTCTGCACAAATGTGCACAGGAGGCGATGCTGGGCTGGAGCTGTGTTTCTACAATATTCATGGCCTTACCCTCTTGCAGCCTGACCTCAAGTAAAAGCTTCTGTTTCATCCTAGAGTGTTTTCTTTAACCCAATAATCACCTCACCCCAGTGCAGTGCTGATTAGAGTGATACAAGAGGACAAATAAGATTTAAACAAAAAATAATACTGTGTGTGAAGTCTTTTGTAGGGTTACACTGTTTCTTCACTTATGTGTATGTAGCTCCCACAGTCACACTAGAGGTACTCTTAAAATCCATTTTTTTCTTGATTTTATTCACTCTTAAAGTTCTGTATTAATCTAACACGCTAATATTAAAAAAAGAATAGTAGTGTGCAGACAAATATGTCGTGGGGACAGGATTTACTGAATAAAGTCCTCCTAGGGAAAATACTGCTACCTGTATTTAAAATGTAAATATTTTAAATACAATCCATATTTTAGAATATAACAATAATGGTACTGTTAAAACCCTCTAATATGTTGGCTGCATAAACAAGTGAGTGGCTGTTCATGTTCTGAAATCACAATGTGAAGTCACAGTTTAAAAATAGCGTGTGAAATTCATGCTGCTTGGTGAAATGGCAATTTTAATTGCAATTTAGAAGATGTACAAACATAGAAAATAGCCCAAATGCAACCTGCACTTCTCAGTCCATTGGAAATTATTATTAAGGATACTTCTCTGACCTGCTTAGAAAGAAGTCCCTTCTTTTTCCTCTGCCTCACAGGTGTACAAATAGAATTTGTCATTTATTCTGTGATGCAGAGCTTATACAGTAGTAAAATTCCCATCCTGCAGGGCATGCATTTATCTGGCCACACATAAAGAGAACTTGATCTTGACACTTCCAGTGCCCTACACTGAAGTGGTTACAGGTATCCTGTTCTTGTCAAATTCAGGATGCCAAGAGCAAGTGCATATCCTTTATGCATAAAAAAAAGAATGCCTCTAGGAGATGTTATGAGTTTATCCTGGTGTGAGGAGTTCATAAAGTTTGTGCACAAGATGGGCCAGGGCTTCATATCTCTCTGTCTGCATTGTCATTCCAGACTCTTGTACTGCAACTTTCTTGTTCTGCATTCTTGTCTCTGGTAGATTTGAAAAAGGCTACTCCTGTGTGTGATGCTGGTTTATATCACTAAATTTGGGTGGTTTAATAATATTAACTGTGCTTCTTCCCTTGCCCTTTATTAATGGTATAGGTCTTTGGAAATCCATTCTGTCCCAGTTTTCAATACATTTCCAAAAAAGAGCTATTATTAGCTATCAGCTTCCAGAAAATAGATAATTTGCAACTTAGGAGGTTTCATTCAGATGTTACCAAGCTGTGAGTGAAATTTTGAAAGGAATACCTTTAGTTTGAAGTTGAATAGAATAAAAATACCTAAGTCTGGGATCTCTGTTTCCACTGGTTGCTTTCAGTATAAACAAGATCATTGAGTTCCTGGCAGTGGCTTCTTTGTAGAACTGGAGTTAAAGCACATCAAACATGACATTCTCAGCTCCCCCTCTGATGAAAGTGATGCTAGATCAGGTTACAATAGTTTTGATAACAGGAAAAGCCTTTTGGTTACTTTCTGAGGTATAGAAACATTGTTACACACACATATCCTGATTTCACAGGGGCTAGAATTATATCTTCAAATTAATGGCTCCATATTTCAAACAGAAAGGCACCAGCAAAGCCTCCCTGTATTCTTTGCAGGTCTGGACATGGGGCATTGTTTGGAGAGTTTAATAAATGTGAGCCCATTCTCCGGACTGGAGACTTTTGCCTACTTCTCATGTGCTAGAATGTTGTGTAAAACCTAGCTTTTATTTTATGTCACAATTCTTTATTTTATGGATTATGTTTATTTCTGAGGCCACAACAGATAATTTAACATACCATATGCTCTATAATGATAATGCACTTCATATTTATTCATGGTAGTTTTTCCTCAATATTTCATTGAACCCGAAGGAGGCCTTATCCTGAGTCCACAAGCTAGAAAAACAAATCAATTGACTATATATATCATCTTCCAACTCTTTTGCAATGCTAGTGACTTTTGTTTTCTTCCTTTAAAAATATATCCAGCTTTCTGCTAAAGTGATTTATGCCACTTGCTTTATTGCTGCCTTAATGCAAACTGTTCCATGTTTTAGCCAGCTTTTGGAAACCGGGTTTGCATCTGACTCTATTATTAGGTCTTGATATTCAAAAAACAAGTAACATAATTTAGGAGAGACTGTTTCTTTCAAGCATTTCTTTTTATTTCAGCAAGGACAGCACACAGTCATAGCACAAAACACTGATAATGCCTTACTTCCTACAGCACAAATATTCTGGTCCCTAGGGCAGGACCAGAGGGAAATACTTTGGCAGGGAAAGAAGTCAGCTGCCTGCCCTCTTCTGCAACAGATTTACCTTAAAAAAAGGCTCAGTTCAACAGCATCTCATGTGGGGAGTCCCCACATCCTACTGTCTTGTGGCAAATAATAAAATCCTGAAATCCTGAGCTTCTTCCACAAATTTGTTCTCGTTTAGCACTTGTCTGAGTTAATTATGCCTCTGCTCCAGTCTTTGCAAAGGCTTCAAGCTTTCTTTGTCCTCTTTCTTTCCAACCATCCCCACCTACTTTTCCTTCTGTGTTCCTGCCCTCCATCAAAGGAAGTCCATTTCTCCTCGAAAGGTTGTTTAAGAGTGAAGACAATTGGAAAACCAAAATAAAGAGAACCCTTTTGGCCTAAATTCACTTTGAAAAAAAGCAAGATTCAAGCAGTAGAAATCCCACTGATTTCGGAAGGGACAAAGTTGTGTTTGAGGTTGGGCATGTATACTAATATTCTGTCTTGAATAAATCTATATTTAGCAAGATCTCTTTCTTCAGCTTCTGAGCTGGCAAAAGTGGATCATACACAGCAAAGAAATAAAAGAGTGCTTCTATTTCAGTGTTAAATCAGTGCTTCTGTTATGCTTCTTAGATTTGGATTATTGCAACAATATCTCCAGGAAACTCTAATCAGAAGTGATGCCTTGTTTTACTTCATGCTATATGAAGACATACAGTCTTATGCCTTATTGCCATTAATCCTGCTCTTGAAAGCAGTTCAATACTAGAGGTCTTCACAGAAATAGAATCCAAGTGAGCAAAAGTAAGCCTTTTGCTCATAATGGAACATGAAACAAGCCACAGGATTATTTATCCACCCCAAATATTACAAGTGCAATGTATAATATAATATTTTCCAATGTTATTCAATACCAGTTAAAAAAAATTGTCAGTGTACTTTGCACCATTAGAAATTACTGAGTTGCTGGAAGCTAATTAAATTAGCTGATATTGTAGTTCTTTATCTAAACTCATTGAGGTGATGTTGACATAATTTAAGCTAAAGAAAAGGAAAAACCACATTTATGTAGGCTTGAAGCAAAAATCTAATCATAGCTTCATTGTTTTGGAAATTGTGTGTTCGCCTATTTTTATTAAAGTATCTATGATTCATGATCTCTTATTCATAATGAATCTAGATTTTTTATAATTAATACAAACTGACTTAGGAGTTCACAAGGAAGCAAGATTTAAATTCATACTGGCTTCTCTGTCCTTGAGATACAACTCTCAGTTGTGTATTTTCTTAGGTAAAATTGTTATGCTATAAAGCAAGACGAAAGACAGGCATGAATGAATATGATGTGCATAAATGAATTGCTTGTTTATTCCTACTTCTAGGACTTTATTGGTATTTATTTTGCTCTGTTTTGCTTTTCTAGAAGAGGCACTCGTACCATATAGTAAACCCAACTTCCCATCCCCTGGTGGCCACAGCTCTTCAGGAACATCTTCTTCAAAAGGATCAACTGGACCTAGAAAAGGTGAAGTCTTGCGAGGAGGTCACCAACACAATGCCAGTGACCTCCTTGAGATAGGCTATGTGGGAGCAAACAGTCAAGGACAGTTTACTGGTGAATTATGTAAGTTTACCCCTAGCTCCAGCTAAAACTCTCAAATAGAGGGTTTCTTTTAAGAAAAAAAAAATTCTAAATCTGTTGTGAAGGGAGTAGGAAGTTGTGTGTGATAATAAGGTTAAGCTTTATCCAGATCCTTTTGCCTTCTGAGGTGTTTTGCTTGTGATGGCAAACAAATGTCGTCCTTCTGTTCCTTGCTTTGGACCAGTTCAAATCTGTGTAAGCCATGCCAAAGTTATCTATGTGGTGCATCTCTCAGTGTGTAATGCTAGTGAGGCATGGGGAAAATTGAGAAGGAATTCTAGCAACTTAGAATTTTTTTGGCAAAGTGTAAAGTGCTTCTCTTGGAAATGCTGATAACAGATTTCCTCACCCTTCTCCTTAATTTCCTGTTGCTTGATGAGAAGTATTCTCTTAGATGGAGGTCCTCTTTTTTTGATTGTATAGCCCAGTTTTTCAGTTTTATATCTCCACTTTTTTCCTCAGCATCCCAGGACAGGGAAATTGCTTTCCAAATTTGTTTTCTGTTATCACACAATATCTCTTAAACTTTGTATAAAACCGTGTTGATGCTATGTATGTGCTGGCTGTACCAGCTGCCCAAAGGCTTGACTCTGTTGTTTGGGAAAGTACATCAAAACCCCAGCATGCTCGGGCATACTGGTGTGTTTAATAAACTTATTAATGGTAATAATAGCAGTGGAGCTGTTGGCATGTCTGCATCTTCCTGCTGCAGCCAAACCCTCAGCACCTCCTGGCACTTAGTGCCCTGTAGCTGTAAGAGATCTAATGGTGACCCACGGGCCCTGAAACGTGCAGTCTCAAATATGGTGTTGGTAAGTGCTAAATTTTAGCATCCCTCGCTTTTCATCTTAGAAGCAATTAACCCCGTTCTCACAATCTATTGAATATTCATCCTGTGCTGCAGTAATATTGCCATAGGCTTTATTTTGTGTGTTTTTTCTCCTTATTACAACCTCTTTCTCTTTCTTTTGTTTCTCTCTATAGAGTAGTTGAGAAGACACATTGCAAGCTGCTCTGATGGACCATCAGGTCTGAACTCATGGAAGTGATGACACTAAACAGTGCAATGAACATTTTCTTTATTTATGTACTATTAAAAGAACTGTAAATGCAATGTAAAGACACACAGCCACACATATCCCACAGATACTTTACTTGTGTTCTTCTCTTTAATACACCATCCACCTTAAACTATTCCTTGTCAGGAGTATATAAAAAAAGAAAGAAAAAAAAAATCACCCTCCAAGATTAAAAGGATTTCCTTCTGTATATAATTTCTTTTGTTGCATTGCTATGCAAGCTCACCTTCTTTTTAGCTATGTTCATATTCATGTCTGTTTTTACTGGTCTGTTGTACTATATGTGAATTAATAGGCTGTGGTGCCATATATTAACTTTTAATTGTGTAACTTTTATGTTTAAAGTTTGCACTGCAATTTTATTTGGTGATAAGCACAAAACTCTACTCCTCATGACATGAAGAAAAAAGAGACTGAATGTGTGAAGAAGGTTTACGTCCTGTAAACTACTTTGGATAACGCTGGATGTAAAGGAGTATGTTAGGTGGTTTTCCATTGGGGTGTAGAAATGGGAAAGTGACAGGCAAAACTGATGTCAGTGAAGACATTAGAGACAGATTTAAACCTTTTAAAAGCAAGCAACATAGTTGCTCTTCCTATATAAGAAGGGGTCAGAAGTTGGAAGTGAGATTAAAGAATGAAAATGAAAACTAAAAGTAGCATGAGATGGCCTAGACCCTTTCACTAGAATGATACCCTTAGTATCTGCTTTTAGCCATCCCATGCCACTAAGTTAAGGGGAAGAAAAGCAAACCTTGCTACAAACAAAAGAACTTAAGGTGTTTCACTAAAGCTGTTTTTATTTTGCAGTTTTAAAAGAATTATTACAGTTAATTTCTCCAGCCCAAAATATAGGACAGAGATTTTCCAGGAGAAACAAACCATATAAACACAAGGAATACCTAGCAAGAAGATAAGAATGCAATTTATTATTAAGACATATACAGGCTGCTTCCAAAAAATTGAAATGTCAAAGTATCTTATTTCATCTTTCTAATACATGTACAGTATGATAGAGGATAAAGCTGCACCACTGAAATTCATGACATTATTTGTTTTGATGCAGTCTACACAACCCTTTCTGAGCCATACCTGAAGTTGGATCCACTAAATTTGTAGTAAAATATTTAGTGTTTGGAAGGAAAGCAATGGTCAAATTATTTTTGGTTTGCATTAAGTATATTTCTGGCAATACAATACATGCAAAAAAATCGGATATAAGCAAAGAAAATATTTGACCTGTGTTTTAGTGAGTGGCTTCAAACTCCACTATGATGAGGAAATAACAACACATTTTTACACTTTTTGAATAAACCAGACTCTGTAAGTGGACATTAATGACAGCATCCTGTCTCTTCATTAATTTCCATGACTTTGTCCAAGTCTTCTTTACCTTTCAAATTTCAAAGAGTAAATTCTCAAGCTTTTCTTAGAATATCGTGTGTGGCTAACCCACCCATTACTTTGATGCTTAATTTAAATATTGCATCTTACAGCTTATTTCTGTTAGTTATCTGACCATGAGCACAAGTTTCCATTGAATACCCTTTTCATATAACCAGTCTATGTTGTTTTATATTTTGCCTTGGAGCTCACCAGTATTAAGAACACTTTTTGTCATGGCAGAATTTTAGAAAAGTAAATTACGATGCTAAATATGTGTTGCTTTTCATTTCATTAACTTGTTCCATGATAAGATAAAACACTACAGCCATCAACTATAACTCAGCACTATTGAATATTGGAAAATACTAGTTAATTCCCTTAAGGTCAAGATGTGTTATTTAGCAAGTTACAAGCAAAAAAAAAAGTTGAGGGAAAAAGTATGAAATTATTGACATATGTGCAATGAGTATATGCCATTTTCCTGCTTGTTAAAACACTATAGTTAAAAACATAACTTAAAAATGTGCAAAAATGTTCAAGCAAGATTAAGAATGCAGCATAATTACATATGCATGGTTTTTATTTTGGTATTACCATATGAAGAGAAGACTATTCAGAGTACAATTCAAATTTAATTCTCTGGAAAATGTTTAACTCCGTCACCAATAGTTGTTTTTTCCCTGTTTAATTGAAAAGCTTGTGCTGAGCTTTGGTGGAACACCTTACTCACTCTGTTCTATTCAAAATTCAGTATCATTAGAGGTTGATAAAGCCATTCCAATTACTTTCAAATATGTGTTTTATCTCTTCCACTGGAAAGTAAATGTGTGTCAGTATTAAAGCTGTTCAGTACCATGATATTCACTAACTTGTCCATCTGCTTCTGTACATTTTTGTTCATTAATAATTTGCTTACAATATTACATAAGGTGTTGTTGTGTATGGCAAAGTGTCTCCATTATCTTACAGGTGATGTCTCTTCTTTTTTTTCTCTCTCTCTTTTCTATACAGTGTACTTCCAATGAACCACAGTACATATTTTTTAAAATGCCATTTAATTTACTATTTTAAAAGAAGTATTCTTCTTTTTTTAAAAAAATGAAAACATTTATTGTGAATAATGTGTTTAAAGAAAAGGGATGTTGTGGCAGCACTTAGAATTGTTTTTTAATTTGTTTTTTTTAAAAAACTGTTTATTGGCTACAGTTTGTTCACGAAAAAGTATGACCTCTTAATGTGTTTCATTGGTATTGTTAGTGCAGCAAAGTTTAATTGGCATAAGAAGTTGGTTAATAGTACTGTTGAAGTGTGTATTGTATATTTACTGGGGAAAAAATAAAACATATTCACATTTCAAATCTATGTTAAAAGACCTTGAGTAAGGAGTCAATATGTGAAAACTCACAGGGAAAACCAGGCAATAATAACATAGACTGAGCTATAATCATCACTGTCCACTTACAGGTGACAAGGAACATTTTATACACTGTTTTTTGAACTAAGCTACGAGCCAGTGGTAAACATTTCCTGTCCTAGGGGTTTCTGTTTAATGTCCTGTCTCCACTGGAGCAGTTGTACCACTGTAATTACACTGATACAGCTATTCCAGTGAATATTCTGCTCGTAGCTGTGTTCTCTCAGCGTGGGGGAAGCACTGCAGGGGCACAGCTGGCTCTGCCCGAAGCCCACAGAGCAGTGGATGGGTAAAAGCTGGTCTGAAGCCTCAGACCTGGGGTGTGGTACTGGTGGAGCTACTGCCAACCCAGTACAGAACACCCCAAAATGTGTGATAGGTGCTAGGTCAATCTTGCTCGATCTTTGCACTGAATACATGCTCAATTTTAAATGCAGGAGGACCAAATAATGAATTGTTCCATGTGCTTCAGTGGTGTATTGCTGTATGGGCAGCCTTTTCAGTGATGCAAGGAACAGGCATTTCCTTTTTTCTGATATTTCTCTTTCTTTTTTTTTTTTTATTTTTTTATTTTTTTATTTCTCAAGTACATATCCAAGTCAGCAAACCTTTAGAATACCTTTTGGTTGTCACCTGAAATGCAACAAAAAAAACATTCCTTGGGAAAAGTACTAAAGATAAGGTGCATGTTTTTAAGCATATTAATGCAACTGCACACCAGTGCAAAAGGAAGACATGACTGTTTGAAATAATTATATGCTGGTTTATGCTTGCCTCAGCCCATGCATTGCCAGCCATGAGAAGAGGTGTGTAGTGAGGCTGAGAAAGAGTCCTCACAATTGAAAGAGGAAAGGGAATAGGGTTGGGGGAGATTTTGGCAGGAACTTTTATTTAAAAAAGAAAAAATTACAGGCAGCTCCTTTGGCTTGTCTACAATTTATGCAGCTTGGGGGTTTTTTATGGTTAATGGCCTTGTGAAGTTTTAGCAGGGGAACTAGAAAGAAAAAAGTTGACTTTCTTTTGTAAAGATTGGGGGGTACTTGTTTACTGAGGGAGGATTTTTTAATTTAATTTTTAATTTTTTAACATATGTTTTGTGTTCCATCTATCTGGAACACGTTAACTAAAATATAAATTGTTTTTGAAAACCATGTGGGCAGAGGACAATTCATTTAGGAGGCACATTCAAGTAGTAGGAAAAAGGGAAAAAGTAATACTAAAATAAGGAATGCATACTGGTTTAGAAATAGCCAAGTCCGCCACAGTTTGCAATTTTGAACAGTACAATAATATGTACGAACTTCATTGCTTTTGGGTTTCATACCAAAACAAATTACCCAAAGTCAATAGGAGGCCTAGATCCTCGGGACACTAAATCTGGTGCTTTGTTTTAAATATGTGGTTAATCCAAGCTGGTGGGAGTGGAGAATGCTCGGGGTTGTACGAGACCCCATCCCTGGCTGCTCAGAGCCCAGGAAGTCTCCAGCAGGGAAACCCTTATGGCTTTAGGCTCAGTGGGTTTCAGTGGGCCCCAGGCAGCATGAAGAGGAAGGTCACTTTCTCCAAGGATGGAGTTTTCAGGGCAGGGAAGGTGTTCAGTGCCTGTGGCATCACAGTGGTTTGCATTGAGCTCACTTAGGCACGTCTCACATTTTGGGACTGCCCTCCCCAGTTGTTTCTCAATGCTCTCCTGCTGTGGTCTGTGCACTCAGTGCTGATGCTGGTCCCTGGATCTGAGGTGTCTGGCACTGGGGGCTGCAAGAGCAGAAGAGCCATGGAGGTGCTCTGCATGCACTGAATGGCTGAATATGTGGATAAATGCTTTATTAGTTCAGGGGGACCAGGGACACAGGAGAGCAGTGGCACCAAACATCTGCTCTGCTGTGTCTAGCTTGTTCCCCACTTCTCTGGAGTACTGAGCTCTTTCCTGCCAACACTCCTCCACCCAAATTAACAAGTACAACTCACAGATACCTCATGGAACCCACAGGAGATGTAGGGTCATGCCTTCGTGCACAGTGGACTGGTTATTTGGGGAGAAGTAGCTCTGAATTCCACAGCTAGTGTGAGAACTGGATTCCTCTTTAGCAGGACTTTAACTGTGTAGCTACACCCAGGAAGACCTGAGCAGAAAACAAGTTGCTAGAGCAGAGCTCAGCATTGCAGCATCTCTTCTGGTATATGGCTCCTTACCCAGTCTGTGGTAGGCAGTCCTGAGTTCACTGCTGAATTCTCACCACATCCTGAGGACTCACATGGCTTATGCTGACATCTAGGCAAGTGAGGTTGTCCCTCTTGCTTTAGCAGAACGGAAAAAAAACAACCAAACAAAAATCAAAAAACGCTAAAACTGAAACCTTTCACTTGAACACAAAACTTTTAAAACAATGCTCAAAAATCCTAGAAAACAGCATTTCAGATGTATGTTTGACTTTTTTTTTTTTTCTTTTTCTTGGTACTTTGTTTTGGCTACCATCGAAATGATCCATTTGGTTTTTTTCAGAGCTGCAACACTGTCCCTGCACACCCCACCCCCTGCATTTTCCAGTACTTATCTTTCATCTGTAAAGAAGTTATGGTAGAGAATAATGACATTTGTGTACTTACATTGTTCTGACTTTAAGCAACAAGGTGCACAGTTGCATTCAGTTCAATTGATCAAAGCCAGATGGGCACAAAATGTTTGTGGGTTCTTTTCTCTAAAAAGGCCTGCTACTATTTGTGCTGATATTTGTTCCCCATTTATGCTGATCAGTGCATCTTTTGCCTTCAAGGATGCCATTAGTAATTCTCCTTTGTGTTCAAAAGCAGGAATCCATTGTGCAGCACTTGGAGAGCCACTCGGATGCAGGTAAAGAATATAACAGCTTGAGCAAGTGCTAATTAGAACCAATTAAAGTTAATTGACCTCCTTTGGCAGTAAAATGCATAATAGAACTTGCTCTGTCCTTGCAAAATGGAGATCTTGCCTCTAAGCATAAGAGTGAAGCAGGGTTTCATGTAGCAGCCCGTAGTAATTATGTGAGTATAACAACCAGGAAGCTGCTTGCTACAATTTGTTCTAATAACTGAGCTCTACTGTATCAGGGCAGCACAATAAAAGTGAGATTTCTGCTCCAGTCTATTTAAAAACCTAATTTTTACAGAGCAAATGAGCATCCCAAGATACCGATACTAATCTCTAGGAATGAGTTGGCAGAAAAATAGAGTCCCTTTTATAGGTAAGTAATGGTGTGAGCATAAAAAAAAGGCAGTTTTACGCCTGCTGGTTGGAAATAGCCCTGATGCTCAGAGGTTGCATCTACCCTGGGCAGTGGGGGAAGCTCTGGCAGGCCTGCACTGGTGCTTTGTCTGGGTGAAGGATCTGCCCACAGTTCAGTGAGGCTCCCCACTGAACCTTGCCATGAGGTTGCCTTCGGCAGACTTCTGTTGGAAAAGGGGCACTGGCATCCATCCAGCTGAGGTTTGTGGTGCTGCAGGACTACACCACTGCCATGGGCAACACTGTGGGCATGGTCAGAGGTACCCAAATAACAGAGAGAGAAGGAGCAGGAGAAAGAATGGAGGGTAGGAAATGAAAAACTGTATGAATTCAAAAGCATCAGTGGTGAGTGCTAAACTGTACATTGCTGTGAAAAGTTGAAAAGCCATTTTTATTAGTAAACCAGAATTGATCCAGTTTCCATGACCATGCTTTGATGACTTTTTGCTTGGCAGGAACTGAATGCGACTGATTTTGCTGCTAACTTGGCCTTACTATGAACAGCAATAAAGGTGTTAGTCAGGTGGGGACTTTGATGTGACCAGTGACATCACTCTCCCTTCAGGGAATGTTCTGTGCTGGCTTGTTAATGAATTTCTTTCCTAATGAGTATCATTAAAAACCCTTTGATTAGCTATTTGTGTGAATGCCCTTCCTTTTTCCTCTAAGCTTCTACTTGCATGAGTGGCAGAAGGATTTTGCCCTAGGCACAAAGCATGCAGCTCTATTCCTCACCTCATGAATACAAGTCTGAGGCAAAGAGCAACAGGAAAGAGGGTGAAAAGAAAAATAAGAAAAATTAAAAAAAGACCTCACGGATGAGTTGAAGTTATTTTCTACACATGTACAACCTGTGCAGGCACCAGCATTCAGATGGGGACTGTCATTGGGGGAAATGAAGAGCAATAGGTGGTGATGGTGAAGCATGTAACAATAATTTACATACACCTCGAGTGCCAACAGGCAGAGAAACAAATAAAGCTATAACCTGGGGAAAGAGAATGCCAGAAAATAAATGGACCGCAACGAGCAAACAAAAAATGCCGTGTCATAAAATGTAGAAAAAAGCCTGGAAAACAAAATTAAAAACAAAACAAGGCATTTCACATCCAAGGCACTTTAATGAGATATTGATGGCACAGAAATTGCCTACTCCTATGCGAGACAAAGGACTGAGAAACACAAAAACAATTAGGAAACAGATTTGGCTATCTAAGGTTTAATAGAAAGAGATGTGGCATAGCAGCTTACAATTAATCACCAATTGCCTGAAACGTTTTCCTCTCCCAAGCTACTACAGACCTGTCTCCCCTGCTCCCAGTCTTAAAATGACAGTCACCCAATCCAGTTTGTATTTAAAATAAACCTCTGCCATTCCTTTCCCAGTCC